TACAGATCCTCGTGATGGGGGCCAAGAGGTCATCGTGGGGTATGCTGTCTCATTCAAGGGCAGTCAGGTATATGTTACGACAGAAGAACGCGGACAAATCAGTCGGAGAACACCTGGACCGATGAAGCAAAAGGTCCGCGACGCACACATGACTGGCCCCGTTCCGCCGCGCATCGAAACCATCCGCAATCAGACAGGGAACACGCTTCGGTGCATTGCTGAGTTTGCGGAAGACCCGATTTTCGCCTTGTTGAGCAGCCGCAGCCAAGCTGACGGCACGTTTGATCAGGCAAAGGATTTCCTCCGAGCTGAATTCCATTCCGAAGATGCCCCAAAAGGATTTACTCCAAAGACCTCTGCGTGCCATGTGCCGCTGGTAGTTGGGACCGACGACAGCGATAATCCGGCTGCGTTGGGCAGGGCGGAAACGTGGAGTCCCCAGACCTCCCGACTGGATATATTTGCTGAGCGAATCGGCAAATGCGCTGTGTACCTCGCGAGGCATTGCTCGGCCTATGCGAGATCGTCGGGTGGCTGGGTCTATTTTGGAGACCTGGTGCGGAAGATTGAAGAAGACGGTATAACTTTCCAATCATATGCCCTTGCCGCACACGGCTTAGCCGCGCTGCCGCTAGAAACAGTGGAAGTGGTGGTAATATTTCCTAAGGGTAGTGACGAGATTGTTGGAACCAGCGTTCGCAACATGTGGACACGGTGCAAGGCGTGCCCATCACAAGAAAGGGAGAGGAGCGAAATCGCCATACCTATTTTCTATCGAGCGTGTCAGGGACATTCAACATTCGTTGCCTCCATTGAAAGGATGTACGTCCCGCATGGCCCTGGCCAAGTCAGGAGTCATGGATCCCTTCTTCATATCGCGGACATGCGGACATGTTTGGAATCTACGGATGGAAGAGTACTTATGGAAGACTCAGGACTTTGTCGCGAGGCAGACTATGATTTGCTGAGGCTGCTTCCGACGAAAATAAGCCCAGCAATGCCTGATCCTACACGCATCTTTCGTGGCTCAGCCAGCGGAGGTACGGAGAAGCTTCCCCTCCAAGGATGTTGGTCCCCATGGGGCGTGAGGCACAGGAAGGAGAACCGCCGTCGGTGGGGACATGGCCCGCGGACGACACCATCCATCTATGGGAACAACTTCCCAACCACCGTCAATCCTGGGAGCTTATTCTTGCTTTCACGGGCCGAGTGCTCACTCGCTTCTCACACAGGATTTGCCCAGACGGGACCCTAGTGTCCCGAGAGGTGCCGAGGTTCACCGACATTGACAAGGCCGTCACCCTCGTTAGACAAACGAACCAGATGTGTTGGTCAGTCCTTTTCAATCGTGAGTGGGCCTCGTACGAAGTGACTTTTGACTGCGAGTCAATTATTGCTTGGATTCACACAGACGAGACTCTGTCGTTGGTTCGGAATCGTTGGCCACAGCTGTCACCCGAAGTACAGGAACGGGTTCTATCCGTCCCTTGGGTGGATGATGGAAGGTCCCTATGCTTTCGTTTTCACTGGGTGAGAACGGGCTTTGAACACTGTCCGGTCTGCAGCCGTCGGATTAAATACAAGCGCAGAGTCACGCGCGACTATATGTCCCAGACGTGGAACTTTAAGGTGTTCCCGCGGTCCCTTGAGGCGAATGGACTTAGACTACATGTGAAAGATCACTACAATCTTCCCTGGAATCGCCCCGACTGGATCAAAGTGCGTGGGTTTAGACAACAGAGAGCTTCTGCGCTCGTAATGAAGAACATCAGCAGTAATCATCAGCAGGAGCGAAAGTGGGCGAATGGGGAATTTGTTGAAATGGCTGTAACAGGCCAGATCTTCGGCAACAGCCTGGCGGGCAATTTCCCTGCTTGGGTTCCAACGGACGCCGCGGCTCAGCCGCTGGCGCGCCATGGCCCTTTCTTTGAGTATTTGAGGCCATTGGTCCGAAGGATCATTGAATGGCTTGCGTACTCAGCCTCAGGGGTGAGAAGGCAGACCCCTGCAATCCAGACCTGGTGGCCACTGCTATGGAAGACGAATGTGGATCAATATGCTCGCCCAATATCCTGCCCAGCTCTGGCAGCCTTCGACTGGCCAAATCTACGGGACGACATAGTCGATCCTGTGATAGGCTGGGAGAGATGGTATGACCAGATGACCAGACAAAATGTCTTCGTCCCGACGCTTCAAACGATTGATGACGCGGTGGCCTTGAGGACACCATGGTTGTCTGTGCAGAATGAAGACGTCGTGGAAGACGTATGACAAAACCCGAGCAATGGGCAAAACCCCCGCGGACGATTGCCAGTCGCCTGGGAGAACAATTTCGAGGCGAGGCCGACTCGCAGCTCTCAGTCCGTCGCAAGACGGATCAACGAATGTCGGGACCATCGCCTCATAATACCAGCACTGCTACCTGCCACCGGCGCAGCCGCGAGGGCAGGCGGACAATCACAGATAGGACTGGACTTCTCGGCAATCAGCGGGCCTAAGGCCGCGCTGATAGCCGGAGGAGCGATCAACCTTGATCAGCCAGAAGGATATGCATACAATCATTGCGAAGACCACTCAGTAAATATATCTTTGCACGGGATGGAGGCTAGGGCGATTGCAGCCCAAAATGTTATCGAATACGCAGGCATACGCCCAAACCCGAATGATCCCGGTAGATTACAAATGCAAGGGGAAATTGAACATGAGGTCCCACCTATTGTAACGGGCGTAGTTGATGGAAGCTGGTTGGCCTCTGTACAGCAGATGCAACTTGGTCTTCGGCCCATAAGAGTTGTTGCTATTGTTCGCGAGACCATGAGCTCCCTCATTTCAGATGGACACTTTGTCGGTTGCCCGGGGCGAAGAATTCGCTCCGATAGAGAGGGCGCGGACCCCATTGGCATGATGCGACGAAGAGATGAATGTGCTCTTGACTGTCGCATTCGCGCCGCCGTCCAGACGGGCGACATAATAGAGGAATGGGCCCGCTATTTGAGCAGGCAGGTGCAAACCGACGTCCGTCGCGAGGGCGCTTTGTTACAAGAGGCCGTTTCTTGGCTTCAGAACAAATGTATAGATCTTGGGGCAGAGCTCCAGGATAAGGACGCAGGACCATTCCGCACTGCATGCGGAAGATTTGGCATCCCAGTAGCTACAGCTGCTAGGAGTTGGTTGAAATTCATGCGAGATCGTGAGAACAGAAATGCCAATCCACACCACGGCTGCGAAGCCGACCCCGCGGGACCAATAAGAGCACAGGATGAGGTGAAAGCCAGGCCGCCGCTGCCCGACGAGGTCTGGTGGACGCTGGATGCTTGGCATACACTGTCTACATTTGAACATGGATATCGCTTCCCGCCGAAGGGGAAGGCGTCCAATAACAAGGAGAATAACTACAGTGGTGCGTATTATACCAATAAAGGAAAAGGGCGGCCCCGCTCGCCTCGTGGCGGAGACGGACAGACTGGGGGCTCGGCGCCGTCGAACCCGACGCCTCCGGCGCCACCAACGGGAGAGGAGAACCCGTGGGAGGAGCTGGGCTGAGATCCGCCCGCGTGACTTAGTCGCGGCAGGCGCAGGCAAGGAAGTTCGCGTCCACACGCGGTGCGCGTGTTGGACGGGTAAGCGACTCTACTGGTCGGCTAAGCCGATCCAGCGAAGAGAATTTATTTATATGCTGGTGGGAGTCGTCGGGCCTCTTCGGCCCTTAGCCCCCTGTCAGCCACCGCTTAGCCGTAAAAAATATTTTGCGGTTGGCTCCGGTGGTTGTGGATATGTGTAGGCCAGGGGTGCTGTGGCCGGATGGGCTCTACAAGGCCCGCCGCGGGGGGAGTAAATATGCTCCTCTCCGCCTCATATTCATATCGATTGCTGTTACATTTGCATGCTGTGCACTGTTTGACTTGAACTTGCGCTGCATACTGCAGCTGTTTGTTTACTCGAGCAAGCTATTCGCATGCCTGCAGGTGAGAACAGGTGCGAGCTAGCCCGCTCGCGCGCGCCGCGGGGTCGCCCCCGCGTCGTCGTCGTGTCGCTGGCCGGCCGGCCACCTTCTTTACCATTCCTGATAAAGTAAACTTGTTTACCGGATACTTGTCTTATCGATGTATCATCCCGCACCCTCTCCCTGAGCAGAGTGAGCATGAGATCTTGATTCCTTGGGCATCTTACCCCGATTCTCAGAGGAAAGACTTCTGGGGCCGAAGGTTCCAACGCTCCTTTCGAGTCGCCTGTGTGGGCACGCTTTGGGAGCCGTCTTGGGGGCCTCTTGGGCCGTCTTGGGGGGCCTCTTGGGCTGTCTGGGGGCCCTCCTGGGTCGATTCGGGGCCCGTCTTGGAGCGTCGGGAAGCCGAGAAGGCGAGAACACCCAAATCTGGCAAAAACATCGGATCATTTACGAATTTTGCATTCGGGGGCCCTTTTCGGAGTGCTCTTGGAGGCCTCGTGGAGCGTCTTGGAGGTGTCTTGGACCGTCTGGAGGCCATCTGTGGTGTATGGGACGGATAATTCGGTGATTTGCGGCCCTCCTGGACCGTACTGGCGGCCTCTAGGCGCACTCTGCCCGTCTTGGGGTTTGGGGGGCCTTGGGGCCCCCGGAGGAGAATGTTATTCTGATCCGGGACACCCCCTTGGGAGCCCTCTGGACCCCCCCCCCCCGGGGACCCACCCAGACCCCCCCGGGGACCCCCGTCCAGGACCCGCCCCCCGGCGGGGAAGGGATCAAAGGAAATGGGCTTCCCTTCGACTGAACTACGACGTTGCTCAATTTCGCTTCGGCCGGCGCGCTTGAGGAGGGCCCAGGGAAAGGGGGGAGCGGCGACGGCGACGACGACGACGAACCGAACAGAAGAGCGCCGTCCACACGCCGACAGGGTTGGCGGATTCTGCGCCCCGACGTTGGTCATGCATCGCTGAGGCGTTGGCGGTGCGCTGCGACCCTCCGCCCCCCTCTGCTCCAGCCCTGCTCGGGAGGCCTCCAATTACCGGGTGGCCTCCGTCAGGCGCCGCTGCGGGCGAATGCGACGAGGGCGCTCCTCGCGCCCGCGCGTGAGAGGCCCCCCCCGGGGCCCATCAATCGGCGGCGAGCGAAGAGGGGAAGTGAGAGGGAGAAGGCCTTCTCAGAAGGCGGCGGGACTTCTCAGACGCCTTCTGAGAAGTTTTCTGTGTCTTCGGGGATGGCTTAGACAACTTCTCGAAAGGCTGGGGGACTTTGGTGCCTTCTGAGAAGGCCCGCCCCTTCTCACTTAACCCCCCTCGCTCGCCGCCGAATCAAGGGGGCGCCCTGCGCTCCGCATGAGCCGCCGGATGGCTCCGTGACGCCGCTGGGGAGCCGAGAGTCACCGACCGCGTTCCACTACACGCAGAGTGCCCGGTCGCAGAGCTCCCCCGCTGCGGATCCGGGCCATTTGTGAGAACTTACTCTGCGAGTAGTGGAACTCGCTTGCCTGGCGAGGGGGGGACTGGCCATGGGGGAGGGAGACATCGAGTCTCAATCTTCATCGCGGGTCGGGGCCTGAGAGCGCCCCACCTTAACCAAGAGTGTGCGGCTTCGGTGTCGGGAACGTGTCGGCGACGCATCGTCGGTGCCCCTCCCCTCCTCCCCCTCCTCCTTCCTCCAGTCCAGTCCAGAAGCCTTGCGCCAGCCACAGCGCGTGAGCAATGAGTGAAACATGTGCACGGAAGCGGATGCCTTCAGCACGCCTCCCATGCCCTGACCGCCTGCTCCCACCTGCGAGCTGCACCGCCCTCTCGGCGGAAGTAGTCAGCAAGTCGCTCATGGGAGCCGGCGACAACCAAACAATTCTTTAGCACCATGGGCCCCCAAGACTGTTTCGGGCGGCATTTTCTCCTTTTCCCAAGGAGGCTCTTGAGAACCAAACCGCCCGGCTCAAACACCGAGCTTCTGACTGGATCCTCGTCTTGCCTTCTGGCTAAATGGCCCATGTACAACATCTGTCTACGCGCGAGACTATCGCTCAGAGGCATCTGTTGGCAAATCTGCAAACTGTATGATTCGACACACGGCTGATGTATGACGGGGAGATTCTGCAAATTTGTCTGAGACAATAATTCTGGAACCCGTCGAGCCGTCTTCGCTCGGCTTGGGTATGACACGCAGTGAATAATACATACGTGAGTTTGGAAACCACGCAAGCGTTAAGCATACACAGCTTCTGTCTCCTACTCAAAGTCGAATGCGACCAGATCCTTGCAAGCACCTTGAAATCACTTCTGGCCGCCCCAATTCTCCGACTCAGTTCTATGCCGATGCGCCCGTCCGCAGCAAGAGACGTCCCGAGATAAATTAGCGACTGCTTCGCTGGGATGGGGACCTCGTTGCGTCCCAAAATATCTGCTTCAGTCCTCACTTTCATCAGTTCCAGTTTGCCCCAATTGAACTGCAACCCGTAATGGCCCCCGCACTCCTCAATGCAGCGCATCAGCTCTTGAACGAGGTCCGGCCTTCCCTCCCCTCCTCCTTTCCTCCCCTCCTCGTCCTCCTCCTCCTCTTCCTCCTCCCTCCCCTCTCCCCTCTCCCCGCCTCCTCCTCCTCCTCCTCCTCCTCCTCCTCCTCCTCCTCCTCTCCTCCTCCTTTGATGTCGTTGTTCCCCCCCCAATACTGAGCCAGTCGCCCTCGTTCGGCTCCCCTCGCAAAGTGAGCAGGTGAGTAGGAGCACCATGCATCCATGCTACTAGCTGTGACCCACTTCGTTGTGTGTGGCTTTGCTTCGACTGTACATGTCCAGACCTCCGACAGCTTCACCAGCAGCCTTGTGATTCTGGGGGCTGTTTCCGGTAACCTGGGGCGTCAAACAGCGTTCAGGGGAGGAAGCCGTCCCTGGGGAAGGGCTCGAGACTTGGTGGAACAAGTCGGGGCATCGGAAGTCTGGGCTGCGGCGCGCCAGATGGGGACGGGGGCGAGAGAGACGGCCTTCTCAGATTTGAGATGGCCTCCCGCCCCTCAGACGCCCTCCCTGCCCTGGAGGGGCCTGCGCGGAAATTTCCGGATATCAGCCGATCGCTCCTGGGCATCCCCCGACCCGTCCTTGAAGGCCGCTATCTTCGCCCCACCCATCTGTGCGAGCCGCCAATTTACATGCAATCACGCATCGAACTTTTGAACTTGAAGCGCATGTGGTGTTGCCATAAACGCTCGTTCTGAGCGTCTATTGAGCCAGTTCGGGGCTCAATGCAGGCATGACTTTAAATTTGTAGGTTTCTGATAGGCTTCGCCCTCTGCTACCGGCTCCCTAGACGGAGGCAGCTTGGCAAACATCGGAGGCTCAGAGGTGAGACCGAAGTGAAAAGTGAGGTGCCCCAACTGGGAAATCGTTCCGTTTTGTGCGTGACGTGCGTGCGGACGAGGCGAGGCGAAGTTGCGCGAGTTCGTCCACTGGCTAAGGCCGAGTCAGACACAAAAAGGGGCCGCTCGGGGTCCAGCCATTGTGTGAAAGTTGTCCTGATGGTCATCCCGATGGCTGTCCCGCTGGTTGTCCCGCTGGTTGTCCCGCTCGTTGTCCCGATGGTTGTCCCGATGGTTGTCCCGATGTTTATTCTTGCTGTCCCGTTGGTTGTGCTGATGGTGTTCCCGATGATTGTACCGTTCGCTGTCCCGATGGTTGTCCCGGTGGCTGTCGCGACGGTTGTCCCGATTGTTTTGCTAGGCCATGACTTCAGCAAACATGTGTTCTGCGAGGGTACAATTAGCAGGAACATGCGTTCTGCGAGGCCATGCTGCCAAGAAATGCGCTCTGCGAGCGCCCTGCTCGGCGAAGCAAAAAGATGCGCCCTGAGGGGCAACACGTACAACTACTTGAAAGAGCGCCAGTGGATATCCCAGTAATTGAAAATGGGCTTGGTGCTCGCACAACCACCCCTCCCCCCGTCAAGGGAGGGGGGAATTTTCGGACCCGCCCCACCTTTGAAGGGGGGCTCGGACCCCACCCCCCCTCCCCTTTCGCCAGAGGGTGGGAAGGATTTCGGACCCAGCCCCCGCCTCCCTCCCCTTTACGCCGGAGAGGGCTCGGGGGGGGGCAACCTCTGTGTGTTAGGCCAGAGGATCGTGAGCGGCGCAGATTTCCATCATGGAAAGCTTACACCAGGGGTGTGCAGATCAACATACTATTAGCATCGGATCGTGAAGGTTGACGGCTCGAGAAGGTATTTTTTGCAGAGGATCGCGAGCGGCAGAGCTTTCTATCTTGAGTGCAGAAACTTGTTTTTGCATCGGATCGTGAGGGCTGAGGGCTTCAGACTACGATGCTGAGATCAGCAGATCTGCGATCGGACTGTGCAGAACATCATATTATTTAGTCGCTTCGCTCATTCCGCTGGCCCGTGTTGTGCCACCGCTGGCGCTTGCCAGCGCGTTCGTGGCCCATGCGGCGCCGCTGCTTGGCGTTTTTTTGTTGTTTGTTCTCCCTGGAGGCGTAACGACAGCAGACATGGAGGTGAAGTGGTTCCTTCGGATCTTGTCGTGGGGGTTCTGGCTTCTACTGCTCAGCGACATGGCTAGGTTGTGGGGCAGAGTTTTCAGGGATGTTGCTTGGGTTTTTTTTTGGAGTGTTCTCGGGGGCTTCTGGAGGGTAGTTCTGGGAGCCTCTTTGGGGTCTCTTTGGGGTCTCTTGGGGCTTCCTGGAGGCCTCTTGGCGGCCTCTTGGGGCCTCTTGGTGGCATTAGGGGGGCATCTTGGGGCCTCCTGGGGGCTTCTTGGGGCCGAGCGCTCGAAGTGTCCGTTCGGGTCCACCGTCTGGGCTCCCTCTTGTTGCCCTCCTGGGGCCATCTTGGGCCGTCTTGGAGGCCTCTTGGGCCGTCGTGGGGCCCTCTTGGGCCGTCTTGGGGCCCTCTTGAGCCGTCTTGGGGCCCTCTTGAAGCGATCTTGGGGGCGTCTGGGGCCGTCTTGGAGCGTCGGGAAGCAGAAAAAGTAAGAGCGCCAGAATCGTTGAAACACCGAAGGGACATCAACACGTTTTGCTTTTCGGGGCCCACTGGAGACGTCTCTTGGATGCTTCCTTGGGCGTCTCGGAAGCGTCTGCGGCCGTCTGGAAGCCATCTTGAGTGTCTTGGAGCGATCGGTCGGCGACTCGGAGTCCTGTTGGACCATCTTGGGGCCTCTTCAGGCCCTCTTGGGGCGCTCTGGGAGGCTGAAAGGCGGCACACAGGAGGAAAACCATCTCTGACCCGAGTGTCCCAGGGATCGCGCGGGGTACTTATCGTCCGGGGACCCCCAGGGGCCGTCCCACGCTCGCGAACTAGAACTATACTGTTTACCGATAGCTGGAGATCTTAGCACGCCTCTGGCCTGTTGGGAATAGAATCGTGAGGATTGAAGGCCTGAGAAGGCAAGGTTAAGATCAGCAATGTGCAACGCATGGTCTTGATACCCCGCAGTCCTCCTGCGTTGGGTTCTCATTTTGAATCGAGCACTGCGGTCGCGACCTCATCCTCCCGCCCACCTACGCCCTCTCCTCCCGTCCCCTCCCCTGTGCCCCCCTCTGCATGCTACTATACATCCCACCTCGCCGCCCTGCCTAGGGGCTCGCGGAGAGGCTGCGAACTCCGAGCCTGTCCACACTTTCGAGGGCTGCGGGGGGGTCCAGGGGAGCGACGCCTTACGCAGACTTACATTCGACCTCGCCATTCATGGGGACCTGCGAACAGCAAAAGTGTCGCCACTTTCGAGGGCGTCTGAGGGGTCCAGCGGAGTGACGCCTGACGCAGACTCATATTGTAGTGGCCTCCTGCCAGTGCCGCCGATCCGGGGCGCTCCGGATGATGATGATGATGATGATGATGATGATGATGATGATGATGATGATGATTATGATGATGATGATGATGATGATGATGATGATGATGATGATGATGATGATGATGATGATGATGATGATGATGATGATGATGATGATGATGATGATGATGATGATGATGATGATGATGATGATGATGATGATGATGATGATGATGATGATGATGATGATGCTGATGCTGCTGATGAATTATGTTGATGCCGATGCTGGGTGCTGGTGATGCTGCTGATGATGGCCTGAGCTGATGGCTGATTGAATGTGTGGTGGTGTGGATGATGATGATGTGATGATGCTGATGCTGATGCTGATTGATGCTGCTGAATGCTGATGATGATGATGATGATGATGATGATGATGATGATGATGATGATGATGATGATGATGATGATGATGATGATGATGATGATGATGATGATGATGATGATGATGATGATGATGATGATGATGATGATGATGATGATGATGATGATGATGATGATGATGATGATGATGATGATGATGATGATGATGATGATGATGATGATGATGATGATGATGATGATGATGATGATGACGATGGTGATGTGACGATGATGGTGATGGTGATGGAGATGGTGATGATCCCGGCCCCCCCTCCCCACCTCCCCTCCTCTCTCCTGTCCCCCCCCCCTCTCTCCTGTCCCCCCCCCTCTCTCCTTTCCTTCCCCCCCCCCCTCTCTTGTCCCCCCAACCCCTCCTACCTCTCCTGTCCCCCCCCCCCCTCTCCAACCATCCCGTTTCTCCTGTTTCCCTTCCTCTGCCTGTCCCCCCCCCTCTCTCCTGTCCCCCCCCCCTCTCTCCTTCCCCCCCCCCTCTCCTGTCCCCCCCCCTCTTTCCTGTACAATTGTTCAACAATTACACAATATGGAAATACTCTCCCACTTCCCCTGATGGCGTCCCGAAGATATCCGACACCCCCCCGCGTATTGTTTTTTACACAGGTTCCCGGGAAACGGGTTTTCGCTTGTGTTTTTGTTCAAAATGCTGCTCTCGCTGAGGCGCCGGCCTCATTTTCGGGCCCCGCTCGTTCCGAATCGTGCTCCCGCTGCAGCGCTGGCCTCATTTCCATGCTTCCGCTCGTTCCGAATCGTGCTCCCGCTGCAGCGCTGGCCTTATTTCCGCGCTTCCGCCCGTTTCGACTCGTGCTCCCGCTGCAGCGCTGGCGCCATTTCCCGTGCCATGCCACAGCACACGCGCACACGCGCACACGCGCACACGCGCACGCAAACCACCACCACCACCACCACCACCACCACCACCACCACCCACCACACCACCACCACCACCACCACCACCACCACCACGCACACACACACACACACACACACACACCCGTAGCCATTTTGGCTCAGGTGCCAGGGCTTCTCCGCCCGACAGTTTTGTTTCAGTTGCTGGCAAGGGGTAGGCTGCGCGCTGCCCACTCGCCATGTCGAATGCTTCGCAGAGGGCCAGGTCGGAGCCGCGGGCCAAGGGCGGCGGCAAGGCCAAAGGCAAGGGTGCAGACAAAGCGGGGAAGACCAACGCCAGTTGATCAGACCCTTCGGGGCTACGTCCGCTGTGTGCACTGCGCGTACAAGTGGAACTTCAAGTCCAGGGCTGAGTGCTTCCACTGCAAGAAGGCGCTCAAGCCGGCCGTCGTGGACGAGACTGCGCGGCCATGGCCTGGGGCTTGGTCTTTCGTGCGGAAGCCGTGGGTGGCGCACGACGATGCCTGGTACGTCGACACGCCGTCCGTGGCCAGCCTTCCCTCCGACGCCGAGTGCCTCGCGGCGCTGGCGGCACGGCACCCCGAGCAGTGTCAGAAGCTGGAGGCCATCAAGTTGGCCGTCGCACCGCCCGTTGTGGCCACGGTGCTGCTCCACGTCGCCCTCAACCGCGCGCAGGCCAAGCAGCGGAGGGTTCAGGCGACCTTCGCGGCCAAGACCCAGCAGGTCCGCGACGCCGAGCAATGGTTCCAGGTGTGCCGCGAAGAGGAGCTGCGCGCGGGGGAGGCACTCCTGGCGTGCAGCCTGGAAGTGGAGGATGTCTACAAGGCCGCCGCGCCCAAGGGCATCCAGGTGCAGGCGCAGGCAGAGCAGCAGCAGCCAGGAGGCGAGCCCAGGCCAGTCGTCGGGCTCAACGTCTCGGCGCTCTTGGCGGAGGATTTCCAGGTCGAAGCGGGGGGCGCCTTTAAGCTCGACGATCCCGACTTGGACATCACAGAGGCCGAGCGCGAGGAGTTCAGCAGGTAGCTGCAAAGCTTCGTCGACCAGGTCAAGCAGCACGTCCGCACCACCTTCGGCGACGCCAAGGCGCAGCTCGAGCAGAGGCGCAGCGAGATCGACGCCAAGCACCAGTTGCACCTCGCCAGGCGCAGCGTCCCCGTACCGAAGCGGCAGCGCCAGAGCCAGCCGCCCCAGCACCAGCAGCTGGCCAGGCCGCGGCCGCGGGAGAAGACGAGCCGCCTGCAGCAGCGGCAGCCGCCGCCGCCCCCAGCCAGGACGCAGCCCCTGAGCAGCCACCTGGGGACGATGCTGCTGCTGCTGGCGCTAGCCCTGCGGAGCCACTCAGCCTCCGCGGCCGCGATGGCCCGGCCAGGTTGGAGCAGCTCAGGCGGGAGCGGGCCCAAGCCACACCCGTCCCAGCAGACGCCACCGCTTGGGCCCCCCCGTGGGGCCCAGGAGTTGAGCCAGGGGCCTGGCCCAGAGCGTCGTGGTTGGTGCGCGTGGGCTGGCGCGAGTGGGGCACCCTGGCCACGCGCGCGCGGCGCAGGATCAGGCAGTGGCGCCCTGCGCCGCGCCTGGGGGCCTCCTACCCTCAGGGCAGTCGTGGCTGGAACTGGGGCCCCTGCGTCTTCCTCCCCGGGACGACCTGGCAGCAGCCCCAGGCGGCGGCTCTCGTACCGCAGAGTGGAGGAGTTTCGCTCGGGAGGTGTGCGAAGATGCTGGGAATCGCTCGCGGAGCATCGACACCAGGCCACTTCTACGGCAGACGTTGGAGGACGCGCAGGCAGCCGAGGAGGCCGCCTACGAGAGGGAGGCGGCCAAGCTGGACCGCACTCAGCCCGCGGAGGGGAGGTGGCTCGACCGACAAGCGCAACAGGCTACGACGATTCAGGCCAACCTCACCGTGGTCAGCGTCGACAACCTACGAGGCAGGAGGCTCTGTGCCGTCCAGGATCTGGAGCGCTCGGTGTGGCCGCAGACGCACCTCACGCCCGCGTTGTTCAGTGGAAAGCTCGACGCCGTTTGGCGACATACCATTTCATGGCATGGCCCTTGCAGAATCTGGGAGGCTTGGCAGTTCACCTCCATCAGGTCTACGGAGATGCGTGCCCCGCCGACTTTGCCGCGAGCCACGCGGATGTTTTCCTGGGTGATGGAATCCCTCGTGGGTTTGGAGGTCGCGAGGGCTCGCGATGGAGCCAAGGGCAAGAAGTGCTCGTTCTGGCAGGCGGCCTGCCCCCCAGCAGGCCTTCAGCTGGGCATGGCGGCCCGTGGGGTGCCGCCCAGCACTTCCGAGAGTTGGCTTGGCATCGACTACGGCTTCAGCGTCGCAGCCGTGGGCCACTCAGCCCCTGTGTGGCCATGCGGCCAGCTCTGCGACGAAGCCACCCAGTTCGGCACCATGCAGCTCGGCTACTGGCAGTGCAGCAGCAGCCCGACCTGCGCCTCAGTGCGGGACCAGCTCTCACTGCACGGCGCGGCTCCCGCTCCCACCTGTCGGATTGCCTGCCGCCTGGAGGCCATCGCCCCCTCGTCCGAGGCGGCGAGGCGCCTGGGGGAGGGAGGTCCGCGACGGACCCCCTGCTACGGCCTGGCGCGGGCCCTCCCCGAGCAGCGCGTCTACTGGGTCGCCGAGGGCGACGACTCCGAGCTCAACCGCGCGCTGGTCTCGGAGGGCTCAGTTGTGGGCCTGGGCGACCTCAGCCACGGCGGCTGGCCGCCGCCACAGTGCAAGTCGGACGCTCACGAAGGGGGGCAGGGCCTCCTCGGCCCTCTACCTTGCCCCGGCCCGAGCTCGGTGATGGCAGGTTTGTGGGGGCTGCTCCGCTTCCTCAGGCACGCGGTCGTCGTCGCGACCATCATCATCGACAGCGACCTCGCAGACGTCTGGGCCAAGGCTGGGGCGGATCTCAGTGCGCCGCCAGACTGGGCCTTGGCGCAGCTCAAGCAGGAACCCAAGGCCAACAAGTGCAGGCTGGAGTACATGGGTCTTCTCGGAAAGGCCAAGCGGGGCGAGCCTCGCCCTCAGCAGCCGAGCACCAACGCGCCCTGGGCAGCCAGCCCCAAGACGGCGCCCAGGCAGCCACGCGTCTTGGGAGCGTGGCCTGGGTGCCACAAGTGCGTCAACTACGGCAAGGTGGCAGGCGCCCGTCTCGCGGCCTTTCAGCTGCCAGAAGGCCGTGGCCCACCCCAAGGGCTCCAGGGTCAGAACGCCAAGAGCACCGTCAAGAGGGGATGTGTGGCGGTTCCCCTGCTAGTGGCAGCTGGCGCCACTGGCCGCGCCGTGCGCCAGCGTGCGGACCATGAGGGCCAGGCCGATGAGCTGCGGGTGCCAGACCAGCCCCCCCCGCAGGGGCTGCCTGCTCAGGACCCACTTTGGGCGCCAGTGGCAGCGGCCAGGGCAGCCTTGCGCAGGATGGAGGCCCTGCCGGATGGGCCTGGGTGCATGGGCGCACCGCCCCCTGAGCTCACCCCAGAACAGCACCACGCGAGGTCGGTCATTGACGACGCGGTGGTGTGGGCCTCTTTCTGGATCGACAGGTTCGACCTGGATGACTACACCAATGAGTGGGGCTACCGCCCGTGGTGCTCCGAGTACCTGGAGGTGTTCCTGGGTGCCGAAGCCTGGTCACACGTCCGAGAGCACCTCCTCAGGAGCAACCCTGGGCGCACGCTGCGGCAGATCGTCGACGACCTGTGTGCCGCGTCATGGACGAGGGCGGAGCCAGCTAGACAGGTACAGTTGGCCAGGATGAGGTCGGACTCGGACTTGAGCAGCAGGCAGAGACGACGGCTCCTACGGCATCACTTCGACGTGTTGCACCATATCAGGGTGCGCTTCAGGAGCTTGCTGGGGGACCGCGCTCCACCCGAAACAGCCCCGCGGCATCAGTGGGGCTTCGAGCCGCTCTCCTCGGGTTCCGACGATCAAGGTGGAGATGTGGCTGGTCAAGCTCAGGAGTGCGCCCGCGGCTACGACGATGGCGGCGAGTGCGCGGTCCTCAGTGGGCGCAGTGACAGGGCGTGCGTCGCAGAGGGCGCGCGGGAGGCCTTGTCCCAGCAACAGCGGCCTTCACCTCCCTCAGCGTCGTGCTCGGCGGAGTCAAGGCGCACGTCGGCGCACAACCCCGACCTAGCCTCCAGGGCACCCCCGCCACAGGAGGCGGGGGCGACAGCGAGAGGGGCGGGGCGGGAAGTCCCTGTGCGGACCCACAGTGCTGCCCAGTCGGCCCACCATGCTCAGTGTGTCGGCGCTCGTGGTGATGAGGACAAGCTCGCTTGCTCCCAGGACCTGGGCGGTGCGACAACTACGGCGGGGGCCCAGTCTGCGGCAGCGGCGGCTGCGGCGCCCCCCCCGCCTGGGCGCGGGGCGCGCGGGCGGGCGCCCTCCGCCCAGCTTGCCTGCCGCGGGCAGCCTGCGCCCGTGGAGCCACGGGCGGCCTCGGCGGAGCCGCGGCCACACACCGTCGAGATCGTCGGCACGTTCGCGGTGTGCGTCGTGTGTGGGTCGTACTCCGGCTCGGTGACCAGGGCCACCGGCGGCCCCTGCAGGCGGCTTGATCCCAAGGATCCTGGGGATCGTGAACGTCAGAGGCGGATCCTCCGCATTAGGCGAGGCCAGGACCCAAAGTCGCGCAAAGATCTGCGGCGAGGCCGCTGTGCTCGTTCAATGATCTAAATGGTCTCTCTGTCGCACGTTTGCCCTCCAGGCGCGAACGTCCGTTGCGGATCAGCCGCATCTTGCGAGGCCAGGCCCCCGTTGTCGCGCAAGGATCTGTGGCGTTGTGCTTGTTCAATGACACGTTGGTCTCTCGGGCGTGCGTTTGCCCTCCTTGGCGCGGCGGGCCCGTGAGCTGAGGGGCCTGGGCGGAGGTGGCCGCTCGGGGCGCTCGGGCCTCTCTTCCCGCTCGCGGGTGGCCTGGGCGTGGCGCTTGCTGTTCTCGGCCCCCCTTGGCGCCAGGCTGAGGGGCCTAGGGTGGGGCGCGGCCCTGGGGGGCCTCGGCGCTCTGCACCCTGGGGAGTTGGCGGGGGCGCTGCCCGCGACTCGGCCCCGCCAGGCTCGGAAGGCGGCGGAAGGTCGCTCGAGGGCCCAGCGCACGGGCCTGGAGAGGCGTCGGCGCCCCAGGCTGCCGATGCACCAAAGCACCAAAAGACACACGCACACACACACACACACGCACACACGCACACACGCACACACGCACAAACGCACACGCACACGCACACGCACACGCACACGCACACGCACACGCACGCGCACACGCACACGCACACGCACACGCACACGCACACGCACACGCGCACACGCACACACGCACACACGCACACACGCACACACGCACACACGCACACACGCACACACGCACACACGCACACACGCACACACGCACACACGCACACACGCACACACGCACACACGCACACACGCACACACGCACACACGCACACACGCACACACGCACACACGCACACACGCACACACGCACACACGCACACACGCACACACGCACACACACACGCACACACGCACACACGCACACACGCACACACGCACACACGCACACCCACGCCCACACCCACACCCACACACACTACACCCACATCCACACCCACACCCACCCACCACCCACCACCCACCCCCCACCCCCACCCCCACCACCACCACCACCACCACCACCACCACCACCACCACCACCACCTCCACCACCACCACCACCACCACCACCACCACCTCCACCACCACCACCACCACCACCACCACCACGCGCACACGCACGCACGCACGCACGCGCACCACCACCCACTACGCACGCGCGCGCGGAGCCACAGGTCCGCTACGACACGCGTCCGCGGATAGAAAATCAGCGCCATGGTAAGGGATGGGAGGGAGGGGTAGGACGTCAGATATGACGCGAGCGCACCTAGCTTGTTATGAATACTACTTTCCCTCTTCCCCCGATGGCGGCCTGAAAGTATTCGACCCCCCCCCCGCGTACTGTTTTTGTACACAGGATTCCCGGGAGTTGGGTTTTCGCTTGCGTTTTTTTCCAAAATGCTGCTCTCGCTGAGGCGCCGGCCTCATTTCTGCTCCCGAATCTTTCCGAATCGTGCTCCCGCTGGGCCTCATTTTCGGATCGGTGTTTGGCCTCCGTCGTTCAGGATGGCGTTCTCGCCCCAGCGCGGGCCTCTTTCTCGCGCGCCCATCCGCCCGCCACCACCGCGCCGCACCACCACCAGCACCACCACCACCACCACCACACCACCACCACCACCACCACCACCACCACACCACCACCACCACCACCACCACCACAACCACGCACACACGCACGCGCGCGCGGAGCCACAGGTCCGCTACGACACGCGTCCGCGGATAGAGAAAATCAGCGCCATGGTAAGGGATGGGAGGGAGGGGTAGGACGTCAGATATAACGCGAGCGCACCTAGCTTGCCCCCCCCCCCCCACTCTCCCCCTTCCCTCTCTTCCCCCCCCTCTCTCCTGTCCCCCCCTCTCTCCTGTCCCTCCCCCCCTCTTTCCTGTCCCCCCCCCCTCTCTCCTGTCCCCCCACCCCCTCCCTCTCTTCTGTCCCCCCCCCCTCTCCACCACCCCCTCTCTCCTGTCCCCCCCCCCTCTATCCTGGGGGCTGCCAGGGGGGGAGGTGCCGAGCACTGAATGCGTTAGTTAATTACGTTCCCCCCCCTCTCCCCTCCCAAGCAGAGCTAAAGCTCATGCTGAAGCACAGCTTCAGCTTAGACTTCTTAAACTCACACGCCGGATCGGCGGATTAGACCTCGCCATCCCTGTGGGGGGCTGTGAACTGCGCAACCGCCGACACTTTCGAGGGCTGCCGAGTGGTCCAGCGGAGTAACGCCTGACGCAGATTCAGATTATATTTCGCAATCTTTGTGGGGGCTTCGAACTGCACAACTGTCGCCACTCTGGAGGGCTGCTGGGGGGTCTAGCAGAGTGACGTCTTACGCAGACTCATATTAGGCCTCACCGTCCCTGGGGGGTAGCAGAGTGACGTCTTACGCATACCCAACTGAATCTCGCCATCCTTGGGGGTGGGGGGCGGGCTGCGAACTGCGCAATTGCCGCCACTTGCGAGGGCTGCTGGGGTGTCCAGCGGAGTGACGCCTGACTTAGACTCATACTAGACCTCGCCATCCCTGTGGGGGTCTTTCGAGGGCTGCTGGGGGTCCAGCGGAGTGACGGCATACGCAGACTTAGATTCGACCTCGCCATCCTTCGGGGGCTGTGAACTGGGCACCTGTCGCCACGTTCGAGGGCTGCTGGGGGTCCAGCGGAGTGACGCCCTACGCAGACTTACATTCGACCTCGCCGTTCCTTGGAGTCTGCGAACTGCGCAGCTGTCGCATCCTTCGACGGCTGCTGGGGGGTCCAGCGGAGTGACGTCTTACAGAGACTCATATTGGACCTCGCCATCGTTCGGGGGCTGCGACCCGCGAGCCAGCTGCCACTTTCGAGGGCTTCTGAGGTGGTCCAGTGGAGTAACGCCTTACAGCAGACTCAGATTTGACCTCGCCATCCCTGGGGAGGGTGCGAACTGCGCAGCTGCCGCCTCTTTCGTGGGCTGCTGGGTGATCAGCGGGGTGACGTCTTACGCAGATTCGGATTCGACCTCGCCATCCTTGGGGTGGGCTGCGACCTGCGAACATGTCACAGCGTTCAAGGGCTTCTGGGAGGTTCAGCGGAGTGCCGTCTTACACAGACTCGGATTGAACCTCGCCATCCCGGGGTGTCTGCGAACTGCGCAATCGTCGCAACGTTCGAGGGCTGCTGAGGGGTTTCAGCGAAGTGACCTTTTACCCAGACTCAGATTCGACCTCCCCGTCGTCCCTGGGTGGCTGCGAACTGTACAACTGTCGACATGTTCGATGGCAGCTGGGGGGGTCCAGCGGAGTGACGTCTTACACATCTATTCAGATTAGGCCTCGCCATCCGTGGGAGGAGACTAGATCGAGGGCTGCTGGGGGATCCAGCGGAGTGACGTCCTACGGCGATTTAGATTTGATCTCGCCATTCCTGAGGGGGGCGACCGGCGAATTTGTCGCCACCTTAAAGGGCTGCTGGGGGTCCAGCGGAGTGACGTCTTACGGCGATTAAACTTCGCCATCCCTGGGGTGGGCTGCGAACTTACGCTGTCGGCACTTTCGAGGGCTGCTGGTTGCTGGGGGGTCCAGCAGGGTGACGTCTTACGCAGACTCAGATTCGACCTCGCCATCCCTTTGGGGCTGCGAACTACGGGGGGTCCAGGGGTACGACGCTTTACGCCGACTTAATTCGACCTCGCCATCCATGGGGACCTGCGAACAGCAAAAGTGTCGCCACTTTCGAGGGCGGCTGAGGGGTTTCACGGAGTGACGTCTTACGCAGACCAAATTGAATTTCGCCATCATTGGAGGGGGGCGGGCTGCGAACTGCGCAATCGCCACTACTTGCGAGGGCTGCTGGGGGGTCCAGCGGAGTGACGCCTGACGCAGACTCCTGTTAGACCTCGCCATCCCTGTGGGGACTTCGGACTGCGCAACTGTCGACACTTTCGAGGGCTGCTGGGGGTCCAGCGGAGTGATGTCATACGCAGACTTAGATTCGACCTCGCCATCTTTGGGGGGGAGGGGGCTGTGAACTGGGCATCTGTCGCCACGTTCGAGGGCCGCTGTGGGGTCTGGTCGAGTGACGCCTTACGCAGACTTCTATTCGACCTCGCTATTCCTGGGTGTCTGCGAACTGCGCAGCTGTCGCAACGTTCGAGCGCTGCTGTGGTGTCCAGCGGAGTGACGTCTTATGCAGACTTAGATTGGACCTCTTTATCCCTGTGGGCGGGGGGTGGCTGCGAACTGCGCAACTGCCGACACTTCGCAGGTTTCTGGGGAGTCCAGCGGAGTGACGCCTTATCGCAGATTCAGATTCGACCTCGCTATCTTTGGGGGGCTGTGAATTGCGGAGGTGTCGCCTCGTTAGAGATTTGCTGGGGGGTCCAGCGGGGTGACGCCATACGGGGATTCATATGAAATACCGCCATCGTTGGGGGGCTGCAAATTGCGAAGCTGTCGCCTTTCCGGAGCGCTGCTGGGAGGCCCAGCAGAGTGACGTCCTACGCAGATTCAGATTAGACCTCGCTTATACGCCGGCAATCGTCTGGAAGAGAACGGCGCGAGAGTGCAGCCGCTCTCGCTAGCTCCCTTCCATCGCTCATGTGCGCGCCCTCATGTGCGCGCCACACGGCTTGTAACATTACCCCCGGGATGATGCCACGCGGCGAGTCGAGTGGAGTCGTATTTCTTGCGCCCCGCGGTGTTGCCACGCTGGGAGTAGAGTGGAATTTTGTTTCGCCACCAAGGCGGTTCCACGTGGCGAGTAGAGTGGAACTCTATTTTTCAGGCGATGCCACGTGGCGAGTAGGAGTGGATTCGTATTTTTGGTCGCCCTTCGGCGTTGCCACGTGACGACCATTTTTGTTTCGCCCCCCGCGCGTTGCCGCCTGGCGCTTCGAGCGGAGCAGTTCCTTTTCCGCCCCGTTGCGTTGCCGCTCCGCGCGCCCATCGGCCCGCGCAGGCCTGCCCTAGAACTGATAATTCCGAGTGTGCCAGGGCGGCCGATCCGCGCAGAAGGTCTCAACATCAGGGCATCGAGTGGAACATTTTTGGTCCGCTCTTCCCCCCGAGGCGTTGCCACGCGGCGGGTCGCGTGGAATGTTTTATTTTCGTCCCCGCGGCGTTGTCACGCCCGGAGTAGAGTGGAATTTGTTTCGCCCCCAAGGCGTCACCACGTTGCGAGTAGAGTGGAGCTCTTTTTTTGTGGGCGCCCAACGCCATCGAAAGCGCGCGCGCGCTCGCTTGTGCTGCGTTGTGCGCGGGCACAAATTTCGCGCCCGCGCCTGGCCCGCGCGCGGGCGGGCAAGCTGGGCGCGCGGGCCGCCTCCCGCTTTCCTGCGCCGCGCGGCGCGCGGCCCCACGAGAAGGGCCCGCGCGCGCGAGGCGGGGGGGCGTCAGCATGTGCCTCGCGGCGCGCGGCCCCACGCGAAGGGCCTGCGCGCGCGAGGGGGGGGGGGGAGCGACGGCACGTGCCTCGCGGCGCGCGGCCCCGCGCGAAGGGCCCGCGCGCGAGGGGGGTGCGTCGTCACGCGCGTGGCTAGTCTGCTCTTCTGCTCGCTTTGCGTCGAACGCCCCGTGCAGGCGCGCCGCGGGGATCGCGTCGGGGCGGTTCGCGGCGCGCCTCGGGGTCGTGCGATGTGCAGGCATTGGTGCTTGCATCTCGCAGGCATGTGCGCTTGCGTCCCGCCGTGGCGGACGGCGCGCGCGCTTTCGCCCCACCCTCCCGCTCCTGGGGGTACTTGCATCCCTGGCGCCCCGCGCGTCGGCTCAGACTGGCACCGCCAGGCTGGACGGCGCGGGGGGGGCCGCACCCCTTGTCAAGTGGGTGCGGGCACCCTCGGGTGCGGGAGGCTTCTGGCGCAGCTGAAATTTGTGCGCCTCCCCAGGCAATGCCACGTGGCGAGTAGGAGGGGAGTCGTTTTTGTCCGTTCTTTGGCGTTGCCACATGATTAGTAGAGTAGAGTAGTAGCTTTGTGTCCCCCCGCACGTTGCTGCGTGGCGTGTTGAAAGAAGCTGCTTCTTTTCCGCGGCGTGGCGTTTCCGATCTGCGCACCCATTGGCCCATTGGCCCGCGCAGGCTTGCCCTAGAATTGATAATTCCAAGTGTGTCAGGACGGCCGATCGGCGCGGAAGATTTCACAGTCAGGGTGTCCAGTGGATACCGATTGAAAAAATGGTCCAAGGGAATTGCGCCATGATGTCCATTTTCGCGGGGTCCTAGGAGGTCAGCGGAGTGGGTTGTCACGCACAACCGTCGAGATCTCGAGGCTCGTTGGAGTGCTGCGAATTGCGCAACTGTCGCCACTTTCGCAGGCTGGGTGTCACGCACACCCCGTCGGGACCTCGCTTTTCCCTAGGAGGTCCAGCGGAGTGGTGTGTCACACAAACCTCGTCGAGACCTCGCTGCTCTTTGGACTTCCGGTTCCGTGGGAAATTTTCGGTTTGGTGTTTTGCGGGGTTGCTGGTTTGGCTTGCCGGGGACTTCGGGTTTGGGCTTCCGATTCCGGATTTTGCCGAAATGAATTCCCGATCTCGCTTCCTCGGGAATTCCAGGTTTGGCCTGGGAGAAATGTTGGGTTCGTTCGCCGACCTTTGGCGCGCCCCTGCGGCGCGTCCATTCGACCCCCTCCATTCGTTCCGCTTCGTAAATCGGATCTCGCATTCGAGCTGGTTGAGCGCCCCGCGCGTTTCGACTGCAACCAGGTCTGGGCGAGCCATGCGTTCACGTAGCTCGAGCTCAAGATCCGGATCAGTTCGGTCATGATTCGGACCCCGAATCCGACGTGATCCACCATGCCACAGAGTACATCACAGTTATTCACAGTTCATCGTTGCATCACAGTGAAGCACGGTTATCACTGCACAGCACAGCACGGAACAACGCAGCACAGCACAGCCCTTAGCTAGGTATCATCACCACGCGTATATTCAACGTTACCATCACCGATTACCCAGGTTAGGAAAGTGATATACTTTTCCGGTTTCGTGGTTCGATCATGTTTACGCGGGGCCATAGCCTCGGGGTTGGGACCCATAGTTTGAACACAGGCGCGTAGTATCGGGGCCGAGAACCATCATTTTACATAGGAGATCGCGACCTCAGGGGCGTGGATCCATAGATGTTTGTTGGGAATCATCGCTTCGGGAGTGCGGATCCGCTGACTTTTGCGAAGGAGCGTGGCTCTGCCAGCCCAGATCTATCGTATTTTACGTGTTCCAGAACAGCCAGGAATTCTGAGATCGCGCACGCGTGGGAATTTACGACGGGGGTTCGGCACTGGAAGCTCGCATCGGTCGTGTATTGTGACCGCAGGAGCGCGCGCACGCGCGTTGCCATTTTTTCCGAGGGTTGCGGCCCAGGGGGCGCGAACGCCATTGCATTTACGAGGAGTTGTGGCCTCGGGACCGAGCATCAGCATGATTCTAGATTGTCCCAGAGAACGCCCCGAGATTCTGAGAACCCGGGCTGGCTGTGCGAGCGGGTCTTCGTTTCGGGCCAGGGGGGCCGCGCGTCCTGCCGCCTTCCAGCTTCGGAACCAGGAGCCATCCTTCAGTACCACGTTACGCCCTGGAGCGGGGACCGCGCTGAAACTGGCGCACGGGAACCCGGGAGCTGGGAAGCCGTTGCCAGGGAGCAGAGACCTCGCCCTTCGTAGCTTGGTGGTCTCGAGGGGGCTGGCGGATTGCATTGCGATGTAATGTTAATTACAGTCGGGGCGCTGAAGAAGGAACCCTTTTCGTTAGGGAGGGGTTCCGTGTTCCTTCGTTGTTTTGCAGTTTGCCTTCGGTTTTCCTCAGGTTTTCGACGGGACCTCGAAGTTGAACTCATGGACAAAAGTGGCCTCGTTCCTCATTTAGGGTTCCTTAGGTCAACGCCCCGATGGTACACTGGTGGACCCTTGCGCGCTTGGGGGGCACCTGCAGGACCGGCGTTTTGTTCGCATTGTGGCGGCATGCCTTGGCCGATGTACCACAAAAAGAAGCGGGACGGTCATTTCACGGAGAGGAGGGGGAAAGGGGGACGAGGGAAGAGGCGATGGGAAGGGGGGCGGGGGAAGGGGTATACAGTCGGACCGAGGTATAAGATCGGTGTCGGTTCGGGGAGGGCACCCTCATGTTCTTCGGGTTTGTTGGACGCTCTTGTGCATCCTGGGGATGGTACCCTTGGATGTTCTGTGTGTTTTGACCGGCGGAGGGTCTCATCTTTTCGAAGGATGGTCTTCTGCCCTGGGCCCGACTGTAGCATTTTCGCTTGCGAACCGTCATGCCCGCCAGCCGTGTCGTCTGGGCCACCTCGCCTGGAACGTTTCGCCCAAACCTTTCCGCCCGAGCCAAGGCCGCTTCGCCTGGACTGCTTGCCCTGGGCCGTCTCGTCACGGACCGTGCGGCTGGGACCATTCCGCCAGCGTACCGCTTCGTCGGCGTGCCGCCTCGCCGCCCGCCCCCCCGCTTGGTGCCCGCCACTCCGCCCGCTCGGTCCACCCGCTCGCCCGCGCGAAGGCCCGCCCGCCCGCCCGCGGGGCCCGCCCGCGGGGCCCGCCTGCCTCCCGCCCGCCCGCTTGTCCGCTCGGGCGTCGGGGCCCGCACGCCGCCTGCCTGCCCGCCCGCCCGCCCGCCTGCGCCGACGCCCGCCCGGTCCAAGATCTCGCCCGCCCGTCAGCGCCCGCCCAGGCGCCCACCCGTCAGGTAGGGTCCGCTTGCCAGTCGGGGCCCGCCCGTTCGCCTGCGCGAAAGCCCGCCCGCCCCAGTGCCCCCCCCGCCCGTTGAGGCCCGCCCGCCGCCCGCGCGGACCCGCCTGCCCGCCTAGGCCCGCCCGCCCGCTTGCCCGCTCGAGTCCGCCCGCCCGCACGTTTGGGCCCGCCCGCTTGCTTGCTTGCTTGCGTCAAGACCTGGCCGCTTTAATGTCCCGCCCGCCTGCTGGGGCCACTTATCGCCCGCTCGCCCGCCTGCCCGCTCGGGTCCGCCCGATTGCTTTGGCGAAAGCCCGCCCGCTTCAATATCCCGCCCCTCACCCGCTCCTTTCGGTCCGCCTGTCCGCTTGCCCATTAATGTCCGATTTCTCGCTTGCGTGAGGGCCTGGCCGCGTCAACGTCCCGCCCGCCCGTTGGGGCCCGCCTGTTGGGGCTGTTCGCTCGCCCGCTGGGTTGGCCCGCCTGCCCGCGTGCCAGTTCGGGTCCACCCGTTCGTTTGCATATCCCGCCGGCCAATCACAGCCCGCTCGCCGCCCGCCCGCCCGCCCGCCCCCGTGCGTCCAAGGAGGTGTGTTGGAATGCAGGTTGCAGTGACGGGAAAACCCCGTCGTTGTTTGGCTCAAGCATGTAAGTAGTTTACATGGTTTGACGCTTGCTT